AATTTATTGTATTCAATGACGATGAATTGTTCACATTTGAAATCTGTAATCAGCAGGAAGACAAGAATTCAAGTCAAGTTAATTTGCAATCAAAACACGAATATGCGGAGAATTTATGAAAATATTGAGCTGCATTTTTCTGATTTTTATTAATTCTCGTAGAATAGATGAACTGAAATTTACAGTTTTGATTGATTTTTTCATGAAATTATGAATTTTTAGTGACAAAGTTCCTTGAAATTACAGTGCAACTGTAATTTCATAAATACTTTCAATAAAAAAAACCCGATTTTTCGGAAAAAAATTTAAAGTGTAATTTTTTTAATTTCAAACAAATGTTTACTCTATCTAATATGAGCGCACAATGAAATCATTATTTAAATGACGAAAAAGCGAATGCATTGACGTGTAATAATTCTCCATTCAGATCAAATTAATCGTTTATTTCATTCCAAGCGAGACGCACTAGGGAATAAATGAATTATTAATTTCCTGTAATCAAAACATTTTTATGGAAATAAATGTATGAATTTATGAAAACGTGAGATTAAATGAACGATAATAAATTAATTATTTGAAAAAGTGTATCAATTTCTGAAAAAGAGAGACGTTCAAAGGAGATGACAGAGGATAGAAACTACATCCAGCAAATGGAAGTGGCATTCCCGGAACGGCGCAAGAAAAACTCTGAGAGAGCGTAAGACAGATGTTTTGTAAGACAAGAAAGAGCTGAGTGATTCGCCGAAAAAGATGCTTCTCCGAAGGAGAGAAATGCTTGAAAATCTGAGGCGCTGAGAGATAAGTCCGCAAAAGAATCAGAAAAGTGAAATGAAAACGAGGATGACAAATTCCCACTGACAAAGTCCGTGGCGCGAAGGGAATTCCATACGCGCCAATCGCCTAATGCAAATTAATCCGAGGCTGTCCGTTTGTTCCCAAATTAAAAACATTAAGACACGCATTCTAGACATTCTGGGTGTTTTACTCGAGGATCTTTTGTTTCTAACTTCTGATGTCTCGTTTGAATTAATTAATAAATTAGAAAAAAAATGCATGTCACCAGAAAAGTCTATGATTCCATGTCTTCATGGAATTAATGTCTTATGTCGTGAATGACTAGTGACTGAATAATCTTCAAGTGTCCAGAATTGAGCCAGAAAAGTGTCTTATTTTAAAACATGAAATATAAGACACATTTGTGTCTAATGTCTTGAATTGAGGCGTTTCGAAGCCGCTAGTTTTCACAGTAATCATAATTAACACATGCCGAATGAATGAAATAATTCAATGAGGGCATAACACTCCCTGTATAATGGTGGAAATAGCTTGAGACCATTTCCAGGTAATTTAACAAAATACCAACGACAAATTGCGAGTGGTCGTAGTGAAGGGCAATGGAGAATGAACGAGACGGTATATGCAAATCATTTCGCGTAGTTTCCAACACTCGTGTCCGCCCACCCCACAGCCATTGTTTCCACGTCACCCTGTCATTGTGGTGCCGTTCCTCCGTCTTTCGAGGTATAATTGATTGCTTAGTACCCATGCACTCCTCCCATACCCTTAAATCCTTCTCTTCAGAACTTTTTATTTCTATTCAAGACTTTTTTAGTTTAACGATCATGCAGATATCCTGGTGCACACGTAAACAAATAAGAGGCCATAAATTTACCATTGGATTAATGCAGAATGTGCGTCATAATACTTGGCATGGATCTAGCTTCTCCCGGAATATCACTATATTCGTAACGAGATCGCTCCACACCACCCACTGCCGCCCATCCGTGACGCTTTTTTCCCCCCGAGTTTTTAAGCGGCTTAAAACTTTGAGCCCCAGCAATGCGCACCCCAGAGAGTTTTGCATTTTAAAGTCCAAGGATAGTGGCCCTGACACTAAGCGCAAACAAAAGAATACTTGCGCAGGAAATTGATTATGCGTGGACAATGGTTTCATCGTAATTTTTTCAACAATTTATGGTAAGCGGGCTCTATTGCCTATTCTATCAGCCGTTACACAGAAAATTTTTCGTCGAATTGAGAATAATCTATGTGAATAAAGTTGGCTATTTTTTCTCCCGTGAAACTCCTTTCTACTTTTGCAGTTGAACATCAGAGCTTTTATTTGAGCCTCATTTGACCTCAAGTTTACGGACATTCTACAATGATTTTATTATTTCAACTTTGCGGGTCTTAATTTCAATCTCTATATTGAACCCTTAGAAAACATTTTCGAAATCTGAAAACAAAATTAGAAAGCTCACTTTTGGAGAAAGATTGATGAAATAATTAAAAAAATGAAATTTTTGAAAATTACGAGCATTTTCTATGAATAATTTATAAAGAATCCATTTTCCACCGTAAAAATCACTTGTTCGGAATCATAACAAATTTATTCACATTCAGAATTTTTCCAGAAATCGCTTTCATGCCTAAAAAAATTAACTTCCCGGAAGTTTAAACAATTTCCAATATTTATTGATAAACAATGAATATGAAAAAGGTGAATAACGATATTCATGATTTTTTTTCGAATTTTTCCCACGCAATTTGACAAATTTGATGATTGAAAATGGTTGAATATATAGTGTGGTCTGTACCAAACTGTAAAAGCTACTTGAAATATCCTTAAGACTACTCGGGTAAAATGAATCTTTGTTTTGCTAATTTAGAGTGAAAATTCCCTGTATTACCAATAACACCACGCGCAACCTGTCATCTCGTTTGGTCACCCTACGCGATCCCGCGACTTTGATCACCTCTGCGGAAATGTGCCGCCGTGTTATTTAGGCTTTAACGTTGAGTAATTTACTCTACACTACCCCGACGCATTTAGCGAGTTTCCGGCAATGTTGCGTGACGGGCCATTTCATTTAACATGAGAATAAAAATTCTTCTGTTGGAAATAATTTATTTTCTGTGGGAATTTTGGGAATTATGGTGTTCTAAAACCACTATAATACGTTATACCCTTGAATTGAAAAAGGCAAATCTTTTTCAATTTTTTCGGTTATCCAGTCAATGCTAATTAACGCAAAACCTCACGCTGCGGCGTTTCCCTGATATGGTGAGCAATGTAGGGTTAATACAGACGATGTAGCAGGGTTCTGAATTAAAAAAAAATATTGAGCTCTTTATCGAAGAAAAAAACAGCTCTACATGTTCCGTTATCGTTTAGCATCTGTCATGTTAGCGTCTTTCAGTATCTCAATTGAATTGTCCAATATAGAAAAGGCCTAAAATAAATGGTTTTTGTCGTTGAAAATTCCCGAAAATTATTGCCTTTAATGTATCATCAATTCCACAGTGAACTTTTCATTTATTCTTAACATCTCCCATTTGTCTTCCCAGCGCTGCTTTCAATTTGCAAACCCTCGTGTTCTTAATTCAGGAAAGAGAGAATTCTGTCCATGTTCCTTTATTGTCCGCTGTCACATTTGCCTCCTACAGAGACTTAATTGACTGGCAAAATATAAAAGACGTGAATTACACGGCCTTTTTAATTAAAGAGCTGAAGAAAAAAATAAAACAATAAAAGAAGACAACTAAAAAAGCTTGCTCAATTATTTTTAGAAAATACTGCATTAGAAAACGATTGTCTCTATTGTTTTTCTCCAATAATTTCCTGGATACATCATTATTTCCACATTTTCTGCCTTCAGAGTTTTAATTGCCTTTCCAATTATAAACAGACGTGGAATGAACCGTTTCCTTCGTTGGAAGCTGAAAAAACTCTTAGCTTTATTATTTTCTGAAAAAGCAATGCTCCTAGAAATGATCTTCTTCAAGACATTTACTTCAATAATTTTCTGGAAGTATCATTATTACCACATTTTCTGCGTTCAGAGTTTTAATTGTCTTTTCAATTATGAAATAGATGTAGAATGAACAGGTCTCATCGTTGAAAGCTGAAAAAAACTCTTACCTCCATTATTTTCAACAAGTAATGCCCCTAGAAATGAACCTCTGGAAGACATTCACTTCAATAACTTCCCAGCTGTATCATTAATACTACTCTCAATTTGCACACCATCCTTTTCTTGACTCAGAAAAATTTGTAAATATTCCTCTATTTTCTATCGCATAGAGTAAACTGTTTTCTTCATTGAACAGCAGAAAAACGCATTTCTAAAAACAACTGCTTTTGAGAATGATTTTCTTGCAGTCATTTCCTCCAATAATATCCCGGATGTACCATTAATCTTCATTATCCGTCATATTTTCTGCCTTCAGCGTTTCAATTCTCTTTCCAAACAAAAAATAGCCGGAGAGTGCAGACAAGGAGAGAATTTTTTGATAAAAATTATCCTACCGTTCTATAAAAGTGTATCATGAGTCATCGTTTCCTCATTTCGATCCCGAAATTTAGTAAAAATTAATACATGATGATCAAATTTTATTCTACGTTAGAGAAATTTTATCCCGATAAAAATAAAAATTACCGTGCCAGTAGAGTAAAAATTACTGTACCGGTAGGGTAAAATTTATTATGCGTCCGGATAAAATTTATCTAACGTAGAATAAAATTTGATCATCATATATTAAGTTTTCCTGAATTTCGGGATAGAAATGAGGAAACGATGACTCCTGATACACACAGAACGGTAGCATAATTTTTATCAAAGCTGAAAATACGCTTCTCTTCATTATTCTTCAAAAGAAATGCACCTGAAAATGATTTTTTTGAAGCTGTTTACTTCAATAACTTGCCGGATGTATCATTAATTTCACAATAAACTTTTACCCCGCTCCCACATCCTCCAGTATTCTTCCCAGTACTACCACTTAACCAGCCTTTTTCACCGGCTAGTCTAATCGAGATTAAAATCGCGGTAGACAAAGGGGGATAAAAACGATCGATAGACCTTCCAGGGATGGCAACTACGATAAGAGTATTGGAGAGGGCAAGCTGCCATATTGTAAGAGGAATTTAAGGGGGAGTTGGCTGGGACACAAGATTCTCTACATAGATTGATTGATTGGATACGCTTGTATTGTTTCAGGAGGAAGCTGAATCGACGTAACGTTTCTGGTCTACAACGGGATGGCCAGTTGGCTGCTGAAAGCTGTGCTACTATCCAGCACGCTTGGCCTCGTTTGCGGTAAGCCTGAAATACTTCACTCGCCGTGTGATCGATAGGAGAGATTCAATTTTACTTACCGAGCGCAAGAATCATGCAATGGTTTTCAATATTTTATTTATACTCTCGCTTCTGCACCCTTTCATGTCATTTAGCAAAGTTTACACGGATTTTACTCACCCTCGGCCATTAAAACTTGGCAATCGTTTTAGCCATGCCATCCAGTCCTGTGGAGTAAAAAAAGAACTGGGAAAGAGGAAGGGCAAGTGAGTGCTGGAAGCGTTGAATTATGAATGTACGTCTACCCCGACGCCCAGCGTCTTGACCAATAAGAAATAGGTGTTGCATATGGAGTGCCCCTCGGACCAGGCAGTTTAATAGAACTCGACATTCAATAATAGGAACATTGAACAGAATAACATAGGGAGAGTTAAGGGTAAACTGTCTGATTTGATTCGTGACATGTAAAATGGGCGTAGAATAAATGGATGTCTTCGTTGAACAGTTGACAATCCCTTTTATGATCAATTTTCCAGAAGGAAATGATCCTGGGAATGATTTTCTTTGAGACGTTAATAATTTCCTGTATGTGTCATTAATTCTACAAGCAAGTTTCCTTTTGCCTCAACATTATGCTCCATTTGATCATAATTCGTGTTCTTAATTTCGGTCAACATTATCAACAGCCTGATAAATGAGAAATAGGTGTTGCATGTGGAGTGCCCCTTGGACCTGACCACTCTAATAGAACTCAACATTCAATAATAGGAACATTGAACAGAATAACATAGGGAGAGTTAAAGGTAATCTGTATCAACAGAGAAACACAGCCTCTCAAATAGCAAATATTCAGGATGAAATTGCCCTCGTTTGAATAACATCACGTGCAACCTGTCATATCATTAGATAAAAACAACGTACTCTTTATCTTTATATTTAAGAAATGTCTGCAAATGTCCCTTTATTGTCTACCAGCTGCCGCTTTTGCCTCTTTCAGAGCCTAATTTGATTCGTGACATGTAAAATGGGCGTAGAATAAATGGATGTCTTCGTTGATCAGTTGACAATTCCAGTTGACAATTATTTTATGATTAATTACTCAGAAGGAAATGATTCTGGGAATGATTTTCTTGGAGACATTAATAATTTCCGGTATGCGTCATTAATTCTCCAAGAAAGTTTCCTTTTGCCTCTGCATGCTCCGTTTGATCTCAATTCGTGTTCTTAATTTCGGTCAACGTTATCACCACCTTGACTAATAAGAAATAGTTGCTGCATATGGATCACCCCTCGAACCTAATCACTCTAATAGCTCCTCGACATTCAATTCCATAAGCGTTGAACAGAATAACGCCCGGAGAAGCCGAAATTTGCATCTCGAACATTGAAATTCCCCCGAGTCGTATGGAGAACAGATGGGTGCTGTGGGAATGAGAGTTTGGAAAGTTTCCTCACTTCTCCCTCGGAGATTCTACCAATAACATTCCGAGAGCCCTCGCACTCAGCGCACCTCCCCAGGACCAAAGAAACGGTGGTTGAAACAGATAAAGATAAATGTATTGAATTGAAAACATCCAACGACAATAGAAACCAGATAATACTCAGCACACTTTTCCCACAACCAGTTTACTCCGCAAAAATCTCTGCACCACAGTTAAGACTCATAACGATAAGTCCAGGAGATGAAAAAGAAGAAAATGTGTACTCGTGAAGCTGATTTGCCCGTGCTCGTGGTGAGAAACGTAAGCAGGAAGTGAAGAAACGAAAAGAATAAATGGAGGGGAAAAAAATGCCTGGAAAAGCCGAGAGGAGGAGGTGGAAAGTGAGGATGGTGAAAGGTGGTAGGTGGAAGCAGCCAGACGGTGGGAGGGCGGAAGTGAACAGAATAGAAGATAGAGCAGACGAGGAACTAGCGGGGGATTGGAGGAAGGAAAGCTCTCGCTTAGTGCGGGGGTTTCTTAAAGATGCGAGTCGGGGCGCACTTGTTGCGCTGAAAGGCCAAATCCGGAATCAAGCCGAGTACGACGAGGATGCCAAAAAGATGGGGGAGAAGGATGGCTGGGAGTAGATAGTTTGCCGGCGGAAAAAGCTCGCAAAAGGTGAGGAAAAGGTCGGAGCAGGTGGGGGGAGGACGGGAGGAGGAAGGAGATAAGTCGTGAAGGGCGAAGCTTGGTGGGAATCGAATTGATTCTCTCCTTTATGGGCTTTTCCGCTGTAGAACCGATGGATCCCCCTCTCCCTTGCACAGTAATTCGCTCTGAATTCTATAGGCAACTTCCCCACACGCTCTATTTCTCGACTCTTGACCGGGCGAGTCTGCTGGTTTGGATTATTTATCTATCGGAAGTAGCGCGTGCAGCCAATATGCCGTAGGAACTTTACACGCGAATTGTTGAGCCTGTGACTCCTCGGTTTCACGTTTCGCTCTCTTTTTTCGTACTTTATGGGGCTTTTTCCAGTGGACACTGAGACATTTACTCCCGACACTAACCCGCTATTGATATCCGATTGGACGCTGGGTTGATTGGATTCTCTGGTGGAGGCACTCTTCACTATTACTCTGTGTTGCCTTCGTACTCGTTGGAAACATTATCCATCAAAAGTTCTGAAGGTACTTTATGGGTAATAATTCATAGTTGACTTGCTCAAGGGGTACATAATGTTACGGAATTTATGGGGCGGGGTGAATATAGGGATGAAAAATATACTCCTTTTTGGTTGGTTCTCTTTCGCTCTGATAAAGCACACCTGAGCTGCACTTTGGTAAGTTTCAAGTACCATCACTGGTACTGAGTACAAAAATACTGAAATTGGTGTTGACGGACCCAGTATGGAGGCCAACTTTCAACCGTTCAACTTTCATTCAAAGTTCACCGCAGTGTCCGCTCAGTACTACTTCACTCAACAATAAATCCCAAAGTTAAATTCTCAACTGGAGCCGCGCAGTGTCTCCCATTGTTGCAGGGCATAATACATAATGTGGAAAACAATTATAACACATTCACCGCTTATATCCCAATAACCATCAAATCCAACACAATTGAGTCTTGAAGTCTGGGATGGCTGACGAGGAAACTTGGTCCTTTGAGAACTCTCGGAGCCGCTGACGAGGCTGTGAATCCCTCGGGTGTTTTCACTCGTAAAACGAGTGAGAGAGAATATGTAGCTGGGACGGCTGATGCTTGCACGTACATCAACGCACATCTATTCTCGCTCCCCCGTGTGAAATGTTGCGTTCGCCTGGTGCATTGTTAACGCGCCTCGTTAAACGTGCTACGTGGCCATTTCAAATTAGGCCATCCCAGACATGCGCGTACATACCCTTTATCCAGATCTACTGTCTCTCTCAGCTTCCCTATCCATAGCCATCACGTCACACTGGAAATTTCGCCCACCCAGGGTAACCCATATTATTGATTTTCGGATTGTTATAATATTACTTTCGTGTTTCGTGCATTTAACAGGAACAGACGTGGAGGGAGAATAAGTTTTCACAAAGTTTGATCTTTCAGTGCTGAAATTCCCTGGAAGATAAAACAATGAAAGTTTCCAAAATGTGCACCGGAAATTTCGACAGAAAAATTTCTAAAAGTGCGTGTACCTTTCCAGAGGAAGACGAGAAAATTCTTTGATTTACTTGAACTTTCAATCAAGACACGAATATTCAGTACTAGATCAAGCAGAATTTTTAATTAATTGAAAGTTCAAGAATATATTTACATGAATTTGTCGGATTTCGATTAATTGGCATGTAATAATTGAGTTAAAATTTACAGTTTCTATGGATTTTTCAATAAAGTTTTAACTTTTCAATGATCCCTTGAAATTTCCCTGGAACTATAATACAATGAAAACTTCCAGAATGTGTACCGGAAATTTCAACAAAAAAAATTTTAAAACTGCATGTACCTTCCCATATTATGCTTCCTTCTGTATTATCGTCTGTGGATTAAACTGTTTAACTCCGATGCCGTTCAACTTTCTACAAGGACCTCTCAGTAATTACTCAATGAAAGAAAAAACAAACACGTAGGAACTTTCAAATTCAGAATTCAGTGAAATTTCAAATTTCTGAGCAGTCGGAAGCTGAGAATTCTTTAATTTACTTGAATTTTCAATCAAAACATGAATATTCAGTACTAGATTACGCCGAATTTGCAATTAACTGAAAATTCAAGAATATATTTACCTGAATTTGTCTGATTTCCGATTCACTGTCATGCAATTTAGCTAAAGATTACAGTTTCCATTGATTTTTCAATGAAATTTTGGCGTTTCAATCCCTTGAAATCTTTTGAAATTTCCCTGGAACTATAATACAATGAAAACTTCCAAAATGTGTACCGAAAATGTCAACAGAAATTTTTTAAAAGTGCATGTATCGTCTGTGCATTGAACTGTTTAACTTCGATGGCGTTTAACTTTCTACAAGGACCATCCATTAAATACCCAATAAAAGAGAAAACAAGCAAGGAGGAGCTTCCGAGTTCAACTCGGAACAATACTGTGCACTGACAAAGTACACTAGCAAGTCCATAAATTTCTTTCCACTCACTGATGCACTGTGCCCCAACAAAATGCTCTTCTGAGTATCTCCGAGTCTGTTGCCCCCGTGTTTCCGCTTACTTTAACACACGTGGATAAAAAAACCAAGCGCCTTCGGAGGTTATGGGGAAAATCTTCTTGGTTCATCTCCCTATTTTCTCGCAAACATCAATTTGTCCGGAAAATTAACTGACGTAGTGGATTAGGATCAACGCTGGCGGATGCCAACTCATTTCAATTGCAGAAGCTTACCGCAGACTCCATGTTGTGGCGGTGTTGGGGCGATGCTCGGGTTAATGACATCGCCTTCCACCCGTGAGTGGCTAAAAATATCGTCGTCTCGAAGTTCTAATCCTCTAATGAACGTATTAAAAATAATTACATGTTCTCATTAAGGATTTAACGCTCGAAACCAAGGTGCGAAGATTACAATCATAATTTGTTTTTTTCAATTGCTCAGTTTATCGATTTATTTA